ATATATCGATTATCTGAAAGTACAGGTATATGGGGCCTATATGAAAACGTAAATCCCTACAGACAATTATCTGCCAGAGAAGGTGGTGCTTTCTACGAACACCAAATATTAAGTATGAGATAATTCAGTAAAAACAACTAAAAAAGCCACATTTTCCATTGGAATTATCTGAAAATCCACACAAGGATTTCCTTGTGAATACTTTACCCCCATACATAGATTTGTCTATATAGGTCCACAATATCGTATATCCCCCCATATATCGGCACCTTCCAATATTAGGTATTTTAAATTTTTAACAAAATTTTAAATGGATTTTATTTTTTGAAATTTTTCTAATTCGTTCCAAATGGTGGAGGGCTATACGAAGACGTGAACCTACATGGCCCATTTTCAATACCAAAAATCCTATAGACATATACACATTTGGGTAAAATTTTATCAACCTACTTCATTTCGTTCGGAAGCTAGAGTGATTTCCACAGACGGACGGACATTGCTAAATCGACACAGAATTTTATGCTGATCAAGAATATATATACTTTGTGGGGTCTAAAATTTATATTTCGAGGTGTTACAAACGGATTGACAAACTTAATATACCCTCCATACTATGGTGGAGGGTAAAAAATAGATAAAATTATCAAAATACCGAATTATGGGAGGTATCGTTATGTGTGGCCTAAACGGATCTGTACAAGACATTTTTGTCATATGAAGTAGAACATATTGCGAACTCAATATTCAAAATTTTTTAAACAATTCCTGTGAAAAAGTTGATACAAATCGTCAAAATACCGAATATCTGGAGGTACAGTTACATGGGGTCTATAACAAAACTTGGACATATGTACGGGATTGCCTACCTACTGGGAACACATATTCCAAATTTATAGTAAATTTGATTTGAAATAACGACTAAACATTCAAAATACCTTAAATCTTTTGGGTGTAGTTATATGGGACCCATACCAAAACCCGAAGGTCCCGGGACCTCAGATTTTTCACACGAATATAGACAATATAGCTTATTAAACTACCAACTATCCAACAAGTGGCCACACGAAGGGGTTATTTAAAGCGGTTCCGAAGTCAAGTTATCGATTTTTGAACCCGGATTTTTTATAAAACACCCCAAAAAGGGAATAAGGGTCCATTATGGGGGTAAACAAAATGGATGCCAAATTGTAGCCGACACTCTTACCTTTCCAAAATGCTAGATATTTATGGTTCTTTCCAGCCGCATAAGCCAATTCTAACCAGCTCATTAAAATTATGTTTTCAATAAAAAAAAACTTTATTTCGCGTAGGGTAAGTGGATACGGGTCTTGAAATCGGACCTTCCAGTCAAAGCTCTAGGGTCCGGATTCATGTCCGTCCCCTAAGAAAAACTAGTTTCCCGGAATCATTGTACAAATACCATTCGGCAAATATTGAAAAATGAGCTCGGGGTAAAGCCATTGAAATTCCAAAAAGTGCAAGAACTTACACCGCAAGGAAAAGAAAATAGACTCGAAAGGGCTAAAAAAGAGTTGCTTCGCTTGGCCGTGGTGAACTGCTGAATTTGGGTTTCTCCGATGAGAAAACATTCGTTGTCCGGCAGTTTGTAAACAAACAAAATTATCGTGTTTACTTGCCAAAGAGCTAGAAATATTCACCTAGGTTGGCCACCAGAAACCAAGCGCCGGCTATGGTGATGGGCCGCCATAACATCCGATGGTCGCTCTCCGCTCGTATTAATCGATCGTGGCATCAGAATAAATGCCGAAAATATTTTGAAGGGTGTATTAAAGCCTACCTAGCTTCATTTTCAGCCCATAGTGGCCACCAAAATTTCCGGATACCAATCCGTTGGACTATTCTGTGGAGTATTTTGGAAAGCAGGGTTGGCATTAAAAAATACTAAAGTGTCGATCACCTCAATCAAGCGCTTCGCCGGGAATAACACAAAATAACACAGAGCAACATTCGTGCACCATTTGACGGTTTCATTGGCCGTTTATAGGCCCTAAATCGTGCCAAAGGTGACAAATTCGGAGGCCATACGAAGACGTGGACCTGCATAAGATTTTTTTTCTAGGCTGTAGTACCCATTAAGATCCTCTAATATGGAATTTGAAACAATTCCGACGAATAATGTCGCTAAAATCATCAAAATACCGAATAAAGGGAGATACCGTTGTATGGGGGTATACGAAGACGTGGATCTGCATATGAAATTTTTGGGCATAGGCTGTAGTACCCACTACAAATTTCGAATATGAAATTTGAAACAATTCGGGTGAATGATGTGGGTAAAATCATCAAAAGACCGAATATCAGAAGGTATCTACTGGGAAAATACACAGTTGTGCAAAATTTTAGCCTTCCCGAATATATATACTTTGTATCATGAATATTCCGATGAGTTACAAACGGATTGACAAATCTAATATACCCTCCATAGAATGGTGGAGAGTATACAAAAGGGTATAGTAATTGACTGACTGACTTAACGTTTTATCAAGGACTAGACGAAATGGCTAAAGCTAGAATCTTGAAATTTTGGATGAGGGTCACTCTTGGTCCAAAGTTGACAGAAAATTCGCACTAGAACGTCACAAAAAGTACTAGAAGCTACAAAATATGGCACCCTTTGTATTTGACGAACCAGTACTGCTAGAACTTAAATTTGGAATGAGGGTCACTTATGGAGGGCGTGATGAATGTATCAATGGGTTTTTGGTAATTTGCACCATAAGTGTACGAATAGTACTAAAATGTACTATATTTGGTACCACTTCATATGATGTGAATGATTAGACACACAATTCGATTATAACTTGCTGTTTTTCCCCATTTCAATATTTTTATCTGTGTTAGATAAAGCATTACAATGGAATACTTCGGTCCATTATATCTGGTACCTCACGCACATTTTAACATTTGCCTAAAAATTATCACATATCTCGGGCACTTCGCAATATTTAAATCATATATATTTAAGTCCGACACGAAATGGACAATATTGGTCCATTCCTTTGGAACCTACTCCATAGAGGGTCAAGAATTAGACCGATACTGACTAATGCCTTTTAACTGTCTTTCTACTATACCTAGATACATGAATTTGTGAAGAATATTTCTTTTTTTGACACCTTCTGTCTAAAACGCGAAAAAAGTGATCAGAAATCCTTGGGATAGATCTTATGACAAATCATTCTGTAGAATATTTTGACCAGCTACGATCCCGTTTAAAGGGAGTTTTGAACTATATTTTGAAAAAAGAGGGTTAAAATTTTCGACCAAAATATTTCTCGTATTTTTATACCCTCCACCATACTATGGAGGGTATATTAATTTTGTCATTCCGTTTGTAACTCCTCGAAATAGTCATGTCAGACCCAACAAACTATATATATTTTTGATCAGCGTAAAATTCTAAGATGATTTAGTCATGTCCGTCTGTCTGTCTGTCTGTTGTAATCACGCTATCTTTTGAACAAATTGAGATAGAAGGCTAAAATTTTGCACACATGTATATTTTGCCAGTAGGCAGGTTAAGTTCGTAAATGGGCCATGTATGTCCAAGTTATTATATAGCCCCCATATGATGGTACCTCCCGATATTCGGCATTATTCACCGGAATTGTTTCGAATTTGGTATTTGAAGTTTGTAATGGATACTACAGCCTAAGACAGAAAATTATCTGTGCAGGTTCACGTCTTCATAAAGCCCCCACATAACGGTACTCCCCCGATATTCGGTATTTTGATGATTTTAGCTACATTATTTAACGAAATCGTTTCAAATTTGGCATTTGCAGTTCGTAATGGATACTACATCTTAAGTCAAAAAATTAACCATGTAGGTCCACGTCTTCCTATAGCCCCCATATAACGGTACCCCCCGATATTCGGTATTTGGATGATTTTAGCGACATTATTTAACGGAATCGTTCCAAATTTGGTATTTGAAGTTCGTAATAGATAGTGCAGCATAAAACAGAAAATGAGCCTTGTAGGTCCACGTCTTTGTATAGCCCCCATATACCGTACCCCCCGATATTCGGTATTTTGATGATTTTAGCGACATTATTTACCGGAATTGTTTCAAACTTTGCATGTGAAGTTCGTAATAGATACTTCATCCCATGCCAGAAAATTGTCTGTGCAGGTCCACGTCTTCGTATAGCCCCCCAAATAATAGTACCCCCTATATTCGGTATTTTGATGATTTTAGCAACATTATAAACAGATTTTTCTTCAAGTTTCGCATATGACAAAAGTTCGGTATTTTTAAAATTTTAACCGAATTTTTAACGGATTTTATTTTTTTGGAAATTGCCAAATTTGTACCAAATAGTGGAGGGTATTAAAAGGTCGGCCCGGCCGAACTTACAGCTTTTTTACTTGTTATCTACAATATTGCCGAAGACACTACATACCTAAAACGCAAAGATTCCTTGGAAGCTTAATTTGAAAATTTCCAAAAAAAATTGTGTCAAAGAAGGGATCCTGTCCCTTTATTTAGGTCACTTTGCGATTAGCTTCTACTTTAAGTTCAACTCTCAAATGTACTGGTGTTTTCCTGTAAATATTGAAAAATTTGATTTGGGGTCGAAGGGTATTTTGGTTCAATTTTAAAACCATTTGCTTAGCCATTAAATGCCTGCTTCTCTGTGACGATACGAAAGTGGATGCGTAGGAAAAATAGCATTTCAAATGAATTTTTCATATTTTTGATTTGTTTAAATTCATTTCAAAATTTTAAAACCCCATTTCAAAGTTTTTAATCGAACACTCCAAAATAGCATTCTCCATTTGACCCACCCTATCCTACCCATAAACATTGAATTGAAATATAAACAAAATTGAAAATTCCAAGAGAAATGTCAACACCGCTGGAATGTTATTCTGGCGTTTCTTGCAGCACTTCACGCGGCTGTCAAATGCAATGCAATGCGAAGCCAAAAGAACACAAAGCAAACAAAAAAAGCGAAACGAAAAAGAACACCCACCTGTGGATTATATGTGTATGTGTAGGTATCAGTGTTGTCACTGGTGTTGTTGTTGTTGTTGGTGTAATAAATTTGTTCAACAGGATACTCTTGTGGATGGAGTTGCTGTTGTTGTTGTGTGGCAGCGTATGATGTCACGGGTAAATTCAAAGTTGTTGTTTTCACTACACCACTACTATTCGTATTATTTTTGTTGTGACAATTTGTTGGTTGTTGTTGTACAGATTTCAATTCACTATTTGTTGTTGGCAAATCACTTTTCGTAAAATTCGTTTGCGGCAAATTATTGTAAAAATTTCGTTGTTCTTGTTGTAGTTGTTGTTGTTGACCAGCAACAATTGCCGAATTTGTTGTTACGGGGTTCGAAGTTGCAGCACAATTATTATGCAAAAGATTCGTGTGATGACTATTTGTTGGCGCGACGTACGACAACGGAGCGGCAGAGGAGACGACACCGTTCGATTGCGGCGTTTGCTTTAAATTTATTTGGCAAAATTGCTCTTTCAATTGATTGATTGCCGTTGCAAATTCGGGTGACGTTTGCTGTTGTTGCTGGTGTTTATTTTTCTGACTTCTTTGTATCGGACTATTAATATCAACCGTTTGCGCACGCGATCCACCTTCAACTGAATGCGTTTGTCCAACAAACGGAGAATTTACTGGCTTTGCTGATGTCGCCGCTGCCGTTGTCGCTGCTGCTGCTATTGGTGTGGACGTCGTGGTTATAGCTCCACCACTACTACCACAGTTGCGATTAATGTTGGTACGTTGTGACGGCGTTAGCTTTTGTTGTTGTTGCTGCTGCCCTGCTGCTGCTCCCATAAAAGCAAAACCACCACCGCCGCCGCCAGTAAAAGGCTGTGTTGTATTTGCATTGGGTAAATGAATTCCACCACTGTTATTCATTGTTGTTAGAGCCGTTGTCATTACAGTGTTGTTGTTGTTGTTATTGTTATTGCTATTGTCACCACCAATACCATAACGACCGGCTTTGTTGTCATTGCTGTTGTGGGGACTTTGATTAACGCTGCCACTATTGGGGCCACTCTGCAGAGAGGCATTGTTGCGTAAATTACGTGAACCATACATTATGGCTCTTTAATGTGGTACTCTCGCTCTCTGCCTCTCTTAAGTAAAATACAATGATCGCACACTCTCAAACAAACAGGTATGGTGTTTTGCTGCTCTGCCACAAATGAATGTTGATAAGGGCTCCCCTTTTGTGTTGTTTACTCTTGTTCTATGCAATGTCAATGGGGTTCTCTGCTTCTCTTTAATGCCGTTGGATTTCACTCTCTCCCTCACTGCAGTGTATTGTCTTTGCTTGTTGGGGTTTATTCTTTGAAAATAAATGAAATGATTTGTTCTTGCGGTTACCTCTCTGTTTACTTTGTGAGGTACTCTTAAGTTCTTAATTAAAATTTCAAACAAAATTTATTCCTCTTCTGATTTCAACTCTCTTAATAACTATTTCACACTGCAAAGTAAATATTTTATTATAAATGACAATTTCTTTTTGTTTTCTTTTTTCTTCGTGGAATTTGCTTTCGTTTTATGGTGTTTCTTTTTTTTTAAATGAATGATTTAATTTTTTGATAAGAATTTAGATTGCGTGTTTTTGGTCTTTTTGATTGTGTTGACTATATGTTCGTACAAATATTTGCATTGATTCACCATCGTCATCATCATCATCATCAGCGCCGCGTATGAGTGTTAATGTGTTGGTATTAGGCGTAAATACCTTGAAATCCATTCTATGATGTCAGGAGGACATGATGGTGTCAAGTTGTCTAGTGGTAGGTATTAAGTAATCAAAGAAAATATTTCAAAATGACTTTTTGTAACCGCTCGAATCAAAAAATTATTTAGAAAAATAACTGTTTGGAGGATATATTTTGTAGGTTTGGCCTTGAGAGAAGATATAAAGTGTCGGTGAAGATAAATGTAAATTTATCTAGCAAAACCAACCGACATTTACTCAAGCTTAACAAGGGTAAATAACGGGAGAGTGAGTAGACTTGAAGGCAATTAAGCAATAAATTGACCATAAAAAATGATAAATAAAGACATAATAAAAATTATAACAAAATTATAACAAAATGAAAGCCCCACATTGACCCTGCACCGTTATTATACCCTTCACCATTCTATTGAGGGTATATTATTTGTAACTCCTCAAAAATTCATAACAGATCCTACAAAGTACATATATTTCTGGATCAGCGTAAAATTCTCAGACGATTTAGCGATGTTCATATGTCTGTAATGTTATGTGCAGTTCCACGTCTTCGTATAACCGTACCTCCTTTTATTCGGTATTTTGAGGGTTTTAACGACATTATTCGCCGGAATTGTTTCAAACTTCGTATTTGAAGATCTTAATGGGTACTACAGCCTATGACAACAAATAATTTATGCAGGCCCACGACTTCGGTCATCATTTAATGATAGTTTTCGTATTTTGTTGAATTTTTTCTTCCAAATGGTAGAGGGCATTGAAAGTTCGGCCCGGCCAAACTTAGTTGATTTTTCCCTTATTATTTCTTACACCGTGACCTTTTAAACAGGTCTTCGAGAAACTCACTTGAATTCGAGTAAAGATTGAAACTCGTTCGATGTGGGTTTAAATCAGACGAAGTCGAGCGGGAGCTCTCCTGGCGGGCAGAAAATAACTAAACAAGGGAAATGTTTTATTCCGGTTTCGCTCGAATAACGGCGAGCTGGCCTAACTCGTTTTTTGAGTGGAAGCAAAATTTGAGCAATCCGTCGCGCGAGCATATTTCACTCCCAAGACGAGCAAATCTACTCCTAAAACGAGCAAATCTATGTTCTGGTTTATATGAGCAGTTAACCCTTTAGGTTATTCTATGTCATATAGCAACACCTTTTGCCTGCGTGCCCAAGGCTTTCGGCATTTATTCTGATGCCACAGTCGATTAATACGAGCGGAAAGCGACCAGCAGCACTTGAGTTCTGGTGGCCAACCGAAGGTGCACATTTTCAGCTGACCTCTTTGGCAATTAAACACGCGATGTGTTCAGATCACGTGCCATTTTTCGGCCACAGCGACGCGGGTTTGGATCAATTCGCTTCTTTACTTTTCGAACCAATTCTGCTGATGTTGCTGTTTTCTTCCGTCCACTTCCTTGATGTCGGGCTACGCTACCAGTATCACGGTAACGAGCGATGGTACGAAAGATTTATTCACATTTAAATGCTAGAGTACTCTAACGATAGCCACTTGTGGTTTTCCAGCCAAATATAAAGAAATCACAGTGTCACGCTCGAATTCCATCACGAATAACTTTTTTTCTGGAAAATTCACACCAGAATGCTTCTTTACGCTTTTAAACAATATAATGAGCTGTCACTGGAATAATTTTAACAGATGTCGGACGAGTGGCTTAGATATGACAGCAGTCTGAAGTTGGTTGCAGTTTTCTTTTATCTCACCCTGTATATACTTTGTGGGGTTTAAAATTATTATTTCGATGAGTTACATACGAATTGACGAACATAATATACCCTCCGTACTATGTATGTTGGAGGGTATACAAACAATTTTCCTATATTAATTTTGAATGCAATTTTCTTTAAAGCGAATATACCTAGATATATAGTTTATTCAGAGACTTATAGCGAAATTTGGTGTAGAATATTTTATTTGCTTACGCTTTGTGTCTAAAATGAGGTTTTATGTTACTTTCGTGCATCAACTCGAAAAAAGATCAATGAAAAATCTTTGAAAACTATTGTAAAATATTTGCATTTTTGTTGGCAAAATTGAAGGGAATATTTTCTAGAAATTTAAGGGTAAGAGATATTTCTTTTCTTGGGTGACTTTGTAGCGAAATTTTATGAAAAATATTTTTTCCAAATTAAGTGAAGCTTAAGTTATTTTTTCCAGGACAAAGTTTTACGACACTTTCCCGAATCAACACGAAAAGAGGTCGAAGAAAAATCGATAAAAAATTCACTGCAAATTTCAGATCATTAAGCTCGTCTCGAAAGAGAAAACAAACACTTAAATCATAAAACATATGATCTTCGCCTTAACAAGGCAAAACTCAAAAATTCAGCCGAGCCTGGATGTGGGATTTGAACCGCGGACCTCTGTGTGCAGCCAACTAGAAGTTGCCGTCTCTACGTTCAGAGCCATTAACCCGTCTTCCTAAAGCAGCACTAAAACAAGTGTATGCATTGGAAGCAATGTAAAAAAAAACAAAACGTTGCTGTGAAAAAAGATCTGCCAATAGAACTTGAGTCGAACCTGGAGAGTTTCTAGTGTATAATTCGAAATATATACTACTTTCCAGAGAACGGCCCTTGTAAGCCATCATCCACATCAAATATGCCTGATGAGCCGCTTAACCAACGGCAAAACGCGTCGCATAGTGGTGAGTGTGTGATAGTGTCTGGCTTTCCTTTTCACTGCAAATTTCAGATCATTAAGCTCGTCTCGAAAGAGAAAACAAACACTTAGATAAAAAATTCAGTTTTCTTGGGAAAGGCATTTCCGACAACGGGGTTTGAATTGCTTCAATACGGTGCATTCATGCAGCCTTTAGCAAATGATAAGATATTGACATTCAAGATTTACACATAAAAAAACACAATATCCCAACCTTCTATGATTTTGATAGCTTATCTTTTCTTGCTTCATAGCTAGTGATCAATAGTATTTTTCAAGAATTTCGATGACTAAAAATACTGTTATCGAAAATATGCACTTCAGTGTTAGCTTGCCTATCAAGAGGAAATGCAATGACTCACACTTCTCTTAAAAAATTTTTTTAAGAGAAATATTTTACATTATTTACTACTATTTATTGAATAAATTATGGGAGTAACATTCCATCTCTCAACCATCAACAACAACTGATTTTGTTGACCAAATCTCTCGAAAGCCAACAACATTTAATCGAGAGAGTTTATCGTTTTCTTTTTTCTTTCACACATGACATTCTTTTGTAACAAAATAATTAGCATTCTTTTGTGCATTTCTGTTGTTGTTGTTGTTGTAGTCAAAAAATAATACATACAAATAATATTCTTTGTATAAATAGTGTGTGTGTGTGGTGAAAGAGATGCAGCAACAATGTTATGGTTATATTGGAAGAGAGACTGGGTAGTGGTAACAGGTTTTCATCGGCCCCAAATTGATGGGTTTTTCAAATTTGAAAACACCCAAAATTATTAAAAGTAATGTTTATTAGCCATAAGAATTAGGCTTTTATTGGATATGGGGATGGTAACGATTTATCTTGTCAGCAAGTTAATGGGAGAAAATTAGTGAGTAAATAAAGGAAACAGATAATACGATATTCGAAGAATTTAGAATAGAAATTCAAATGAAATAATAACTTATCCAAAACCTTCAAAACAACAATATATTAACAAGTAAAAAAGCAGTTAGTTCGGCCGGGCCGATATTTGAATACCCTCCACATTTGGAACGATTTTGCCAAATTTAAAAAAAAAATAAAATCCGTAAAAAATTCTGTTGAAATCTTAAAAATACCGAATGTAGCCATTACATACGACGACGTAGACTTGCATAGGCAACTTTTGTCATAAACCATTACAATATACAAATGCGAAACTTGAATAAAAAAATTCGGTGAATAATGTAGCTAAATAAAATCATCAAAATTCCGATATGGGGACAGAAAATTTTCTGTCATATGCTGCAGTATCCATTGCGAACTGCAAACACACAATTTGAAACAATTCCGTTGAATAATGCCGCTTAAATCACCAAAATACCGAAACAAGGGAGGTACCATTATATGGGGGCTATACCAAAACGTGGACCTACATCACCCATTTTCAATACCAAATACTGTCGTGCAGACATAATACACATCTGTGTAAAATTTTATCAACCTACTTCATTTAGTTCGGAAGCTAGAGTGATTTCCGCAGATGGATAGACGGACAGACGGACCCCTCTAAATCGACATAGAATTTTATGCTGATCAAGAATATATATACTTTGTGGGGTCCAAACCTAATATACCCTCCATACTATGGTGGAGGGTATAAAAAGATGTTACAGTAGGAATAACATGTTACAGGTCATCTATATCTAGGAGACTTTCTTCTAGGAACACATAAATAAAAGGCCTTTAACAAATTTTCTATACGCAGAAGACCTTTGTAAAGTCATCTATAAAAACCCTTGTGATAAAGGCCCTTTTCCGGTAGACAAGTTTTATATGAATATAAAATGTTTGTCAGAACTTTTCAGGACTTAAATAAACGAAAGACCTCTGGTAGGGACAGATCATCATATAAATGCCTTTGATAGACAGAAAAGACCTCTCATGTGTTTCTGGTAAACCCTTTGCAACCGAAATATGACCGAGACAACTCCTGGGAGTAGCAGGAATGAATAAAGCCTGAAGTCGAGCACATTCTACTCTTGTGTAGTACTCTGGGATGTACGCTGATCCCACAGCGATCGCGAAGACACAA